GATTTTTCCTATCAGTAGACCACCTATTCAAGGACAAAAATTTGTTATACGCTGTATAGAATTATTAATATACAAAATCAGTTTTCTAATTACCTCAGAAGTAGTGGAAATACGAATGAGTTCTTCACAACGGGACATAAAAAGGGCAATCGATACCATGCCCAAGACTGCAGCAGCAGAAGACATCCGTCGATAGCATTACGCCTGTAGTCAGTGGCTCCACACATCTCCCTGAATGATCCGACGAGACGAAAGTCGCTAAGATGTCGCAACCACATGCAGTGAACTAGGTTACGCGATTTTTTCGGCATCAACAACCCTCCTATCAGCTCCAGTATGCATGCCTGTGCATACATCTTAACCTTATCCTCAGAGGCGTCTGCGCTCAACTCCCGAAAATTGGCATCTAACCAATTTAACGGTATCCTACCTCCGATAAAATTTTTTGGGACACGTCCTAGACTATCTCGACACAAAGTAGTCCAAGAATCGAAAGTTATCACCGATATCACATCTCCATCCACCGGAAGCCCCAGGTGCATAGAAACATCCTCAAGCGTGATCGTGCACTCTTCGCACGGAAGATGGAATGTGTGGGTCTCCGGCCTCCACCGCTCTACTAAGGCAGAAATCAGGTCTGGCTCTATCTTACAGTGACCCTGATATCTACCTATATAACCGAATCCAACCTCTACTAAATACGGCAAGACACGGCTGGATATCACTAACTTAAGATTCATAATAAAAGGATCTAATACACGGCCCTTCTCCTAAAAATGAATAATTACAAAAATTAATTCTTAATCTAATAATCATGCATTAAATGAATTAACTAATTATTACTAATAATTTAAATTAAATTAAAACGTTAAAATGTTACTGTATCAGCAAAGTGTCGAGATATTTAATTCTTAATCTAATAATCATGCATTAAATAAATAACTAAATATTACTAATAATTTAAATTAAATTAAAACGTTAAAATGTTACCGTATCAGCAAAGTGTAGAGATATATGATTTCCATCCAAGCGAAGTAGATTGCCTTCCATTATATATCTGCAAAAGAATTATATTAGTAAAATATTAAATAAAGTAAAAACATAATAGTAAAAATATTATAAAATATACCTTAAATAGAGAGTATTTGAGAGAAATTTAGAGAATTTGAGAGAATTTGGTGTGATAAAAGTGATTGAGGATGGGGGTATTTATAGGGGGTAGGGTGGGTAATTAGGGGTATAGCGCGCCCTCTGCACTGCGCTATACCCCACGTGTCAGATATCTAAGTATAACGCGCTACAGGGGCCGCGCTATACCCACGTGTATGCCAGATCACCGTATAGCGCGGTGCAGGGGGCGCTATACCCCATGTGGCGCCAAATCATCGTATAACACGGTGCAGGAGGCGCGTTTTAATGCTAAGGGTGTTAGATCGAGAAATATACTGTTCACCGGTGATATATCGGGAAAATCGCCGGATATAAGACGATGTGTTGCCGAAATCGATATTCATGAAGAAAAATCCTACCATTAATATATAAAATAATAATATTGAAAATTAAACTATCAAAGCGTATAATATTATAATCGTTTTGTTTTAAACATATTGATAATTACTTGAGAAATTGGTAAATTTAGTTTAGTTTATACTGAAGCATTATTATAAGAACAATATTTATTTAAAATTTATTTACTTAATTAAATTTTTAAAAAAGTATATTTGAGAAAAGAACACTCTTTTTATAAATATGTGTTATGTAAACATATTTTTTTATAAGATTTGTTTGATAGAATTAGAGATGGTCAAAATATTTAAATCCGACATGAATTGATTAAACCCGACCTTGTAAGGGTAATTTTTTAAAATAGAAATTTTGGTCGGGGTGGGGTGGGGGCGGGTTGGGTGAGGTAAGGCGGGTTATATAAAAAATAGTTTAGGGGCAGAGTAGAATAGAGTTTAGGTGAAAAATCACCAACTCGACCCGGTAGAAATTTTTTTTTTCTTTTCTATATATATATATATATATATAATATTTAAAATTTTAGAAATTTGTATAGTATTAAAACATATTCCTTAATCGTTAAAATTATAGTAAAATATTATAAAATATATTATTTTAATTATTTAAAATATAATAAATTATTATAAATAAATTATTTTAATTATTTTAAAATATTAATATATTTAGGTTGAGCCAGGTTGTGGCTTTAGTCTAAAAATCAAGGTGGGAGAAAAACTAAAAATTATCCGGGCGAGACGGGATCAAGTATGAGCCATATATTTTTGGGTCGAGGTCGGGATAGCCAAAAAATCGGCCCGCCTCACCTCGTGCCCATCCCTAGATAAGATATGTCTTTACTGGTGTACCCATCACTACGTCATTTGAGTCGATCAAACGACAACGACATAATGTATGCATATGCATTTATCTTCTTCATTATATATATATTATTAAACTTATTGATTTTGAACTAGGATATGTCTTAAATTTAATTAAGCCTGTTTTTATTTATTTTATTTTGATCTAAAAATTGCGTTAAAATTACTGTATAAATTCTTATCACATTAATGAAAATATACCCTACAAATATATGTATTATGAAAAATATGGTCTACATAATATATATTTATCAAAATAATATTCATTTATTAAATAAATTTGTGTTGTGTGCTAATTAATTAAGTAAATAGTTTTTAAAATTGATATTATTCCCATAACATAGACCCGTATATGGATTCAATAGAATTTAAAAATTCATCAGATTTTTTTTTTTAATTTAAAATCTGAAGCAAACATATGTTTAATATGATTCTCCAGAAGCAACCGAATGCTGCCGTTTAGTATCACTTTGGTAGCAAGCTATATTACTAACCCCCACCCATCTCATCTGCTCTTTTCGTTGCCAGGAGAAAACTGGAGGAGGAAAAAAATATAAACGCCGTCTGTGGGAATCGAACCCACGACCACGTGGTTAAAAGCCACGCGCTCTACCAGCTGAGCTAAGACGGCAAGGATGAGGTTTGGGTCATCTTAGTTGTAATATTTCTAATTTAAAAAAAAAACAAATATCAACAAAACGTAAATCTTAATTGAATTATTATTATCATTGTTATCTCTTATTAAAATATAATCACAAAACTCTGAAATAAAAACTACATCTATGTTTAGAATAGAGAATATATTCATTTATAAGGATAATAATTTAAGAAAAAATAATTAGTGACAAATATCAACAAAACGTAAATCTTAATTGAAAGTATTATTATCATTGTTATCTCTTATTAAAATATAATCACAAAACTCTGAAATAAAAACTACATCTATGTTTAGAATAGAGAATATATTCATTTATAAGGATAATAATTTAAGAAAAAATAATTAGTGATTTATTCTGTCAATGATTTAATTTTGTAATAAATTAGATTTTACTTGTTAAAAGATGCATTAAAAGTCGTATAACGTCAACTAATGACGAGATAATCCAAGAATACAGACTAGTAGGCAATTGAATCATACAAAATGATTGGTAAGAGAAGAAATGTTCTAAAAATTATATGGCAAGTTTAGACAATAAAAAGAAAGAGTGGACACCATTCCTTTTGTCTACCCTTTTTAAACACTATACCATTTCATTTTCTTTACAATATCATTCTCTTAAACTCCCTCATCCTCTATCTCGAAGGTACGATTATGGTTTTGTTCTTATTTGAGCATAGGTTGCAGATGAATTTGTTTTTGAACCATTCACGTTCTCATGCGTTTGTTGGTGAATTTGAAGCAGGTTATAGAGAAAGATGGGGGATATTATGGTAGGTAGGTATTGGTGTTACAGTTGCTCTCAAATGGTGAATCCAACGATAGAGCCCACGATCAAATGCCCTTCATGCGACTCCGGATTTGTCGAAGAAATATCCAGCATGAGATATTTCTCCAACACCAATGGCATTGATTCAGCATCAGCCAACAATTTTTCCTTTTTGGCTCCGATTCCAATCTTGCTTGGTATAATCAGTGGTTTAGGCACTTCGCGGTCGCGTATCGCGGGCAGGGATCAAACCGATGTTAACAACTCATCACAGGATGCATTGGATGATGAACTAGGAAGAGATTTTGAAGCCCTGCTTATGAGGAGGAGGAGAAGAGGCTCTTCTGCTCTTCATATGCTTGAGGATACGCCTAATGCAGCGGTCTCTGAACCGGAGAATCCTGAAATCAATAGAGAAAGGAGAGAGAGAATGATCGTATCCGATCCATTCAACGATGGTGCTTTGATTGTTCATGCTTCGTTTGGTGATTACTTAATGGGGCATGGCTGGGATCTTTTGTTGCAGTATTTGTCGGAGAATGATATGAACCACCACGGCGTTCCACCGGCACTGAAAGAAGCAATTGAAGCAATACCAAATGTTACTGTGGATGATATATTGCATTGTTCTGTATGTTTGGAGGATATTGAGATTGGAAGTGAAACAAAAGAGATGCCATGCAAACATAAATTCCACAGTGGATGTATTACTCCATGGCTGGAACTTCATAGTTCTTGTCCAGTATGCAGGTATAAACTGCGTTGGGATTATTCGGAGATCGAGGCAAACGTCACCAGGAATGGCGAGGGGAGAGTCGGCGTTGCAGATGCCCGAAATGGTGGAGAAATTGGGACCGGAAGGCAGTATTGGATCCCGATTCCATGGCATTATGAACGTTTACTGGCCTTACCGGGATCCGGAAGTGATTCAACTTCAGCTTCGTCGTTGGAGGCTTTGCCGGGGAGTGAAAACACACCTCAGACAAATGATTGATAATGATTTTTTTTCCCCTTTTGTTCTGATGATTTTATTGTGTGTTTCTGGCCTTAGCCTGAGTTTTCTGCAGCATACTTGCTGATGTTGTAGCTTCGTTTCGGTCCAAAATGAAGAATTAAATAGATTCTGTTTTGTACATACACTCCAGAAACTCGAACTCTTATTCGAAGAAAGGAATTTTACATATTTCCATAGTATTACTATTTTAACAACCTAAAGATTAAATTCTTAAATCAATCCGATATCTCTATATATATATCGTATAATTACAAAGTAGAGTTGGTCCTAGACTTATGCATCTTATCATCCTGTGAAGATGGAGGCAACTGAGAAGACGAGAACCCAGCATGGTACGATGAAGAAGCAAGTTGAGCAAGTGCCGGAACAGCACCACCCGTGGATTTTTCCCATCGAGACACCATGAGAGTCGCAATGTGGCAACCGTTAGTCCAAGCAAACATAATTTGATCAAGCAAGATTTCATCAGATCTTGTAACACAAGGAAATATCAATTTAGGTAACAAATAAATAAGATGGTCATTAAAAAGATTTTCTAACCTGCCAATCCTGCACAAGCGGAGGATAACACTATCACAGGTGGTGCCTACATGCAAAAAAAGAAGAAGAATTATGCAAATCTTTTCATATATGAGCAAGCGTATGCAGTGCAGAAAATTCAGCCAAATTGTATTTGTGGACTACCGAAAACCTATTGGTTATTGACAAGCAGGCGGCATGACGAGAAAATGAGAATGCATTAAGCCATTAACCTTCACATACAACCCACCAAAAGCATTAATGTGCAGTAATCACCACTGACCTAGTTATAAACTTATAATTACTAACATGGTGCAGAAACTAAACAAGGACGGTTTACATCTTATCCTTTATCATAATCATGAGGGAAGGAGTCTAAGAGCAAAACGAAAACAACTTTCAGGTCACGAATCAACAGTTCATTGACGAGCACAACAGAAGGCACACCAGAGAGACCTAGGAACAACATCCGCAACATTGAAAAGCTTTTGATGGGAGGTAAGTTCAATTAGGTAATTTCTCGGTGCAGAGCGGGGAAAGGAGGGGTGGAGAGAACTGTAAATTAAGTCGTATTATTAATATTACCAAATATAAAACTATGCTAAAAAAACTAAGCCTTGCAAACCAACCCAAAACAAGTCATTGACAAATCAAGAGATTTGGCACATAAAGAACTTACACCAACAAGGAAATGCACCCACATGGGTCCCTTTACATATTTCCTGACTATTGGCATAACTGCACCAAAAAATATATACAAGTCAGGAAGACGAACGAAACTCTGATCGACATGTGGGGCATCAGAAATAGCTTTTCTCGAGTCATTAAGTGTGTCAAACAATGAAACAAACATCAAAAGGCAAGAAATATGCATAGTTAATGCACAAACAGATCATGGTATTATGTCGGCATATAATAAATCTCAAAACTCGTGTTCCAAAGGACAAATGAAACCTATTTTACATATGGCCTTGAATAGAATCTATAACATGGAACTTTAAGCATCAATTTGTCATCAACTTTTAGTCCCAGGAGCAGGCTAACCTTAAATTTCAGGTTTGTGTGATTGAACTAGGATGCAATTTTGAAGCTAAACAAGATATTGCCTTTTATCTAAAAACCAAATCATTGACAGAAAAGATTAACGCATATAGTTATTTAGAATTGACTCTTCTGAAACAACACGGAAAATATTGTCCCATAAAAGGAATTCCTTTTGAAGGTGCATTGACTATCATATAAAAAACTTGAGTTACAGCTTTATAATCAAATCATATCAAATGAACTACATCTAATTGGTGAAGAAACAGATCCACATACCATGGTTGAACCCGTAGAACGCACTTGTAGTGCCACCAACAGCAGAGCCAATCTAAAATAACAACCATGAACACACAAACTAAGCCACCCTCCAATATATAAAACACCCCAAATAAAAGATTTAGTAAAAACTGCAAGAACATTGTAAATTGGAAATCTGTACTACTAAACTGGGGGGGAAGTATCCAAATTTCCAAAAACCAATCAAATAGAAGGTCAATGAAAGCTATTTTTTTATAAAAAAAAACCTAAAATCCCCACATTGAAAGAAAAAGATAGTCTTTTTACCATGGCAAAACTATTCCTCACGAGCGGAGAAACAGTCCATTCACTTGTTTCCTGCACCATTGAATAAGAAAATTAAAATTTGAAAAAAAAAACAAAAACCAAAAAACGAAGATGCATGTAAGAGACTGTTACAATCTCTTTAGAAAGAGGGCCAGCGCAGTGAGGGCAACGCAAATTGCTTCGAGGGTTTGAATTTGCCATTGCTTTTGTTCTTCAAAAATGGAACTTCTTTTTAGTGTTTTCCAGACCAAATCCAAAACCCTTGTATTTGATCCCCTGAAAACGGAGAGGGGTTATAGGGAAAGTTTCTTTCTCAACATATTGTTGGTTATTTTATGAGTTAATTACATCATATATCCACAAACTATAACTCTCATTTTAAATTGATCCTTAAATTTTTTAAGATTCTAATTTAATCCTTAAATTATGAATCTCATTCTAAATTAGTCCTTAAACTTTTGAACATCCTAATTTTATCCCTAAACTATGACCTTTCTAAATTGATCCCTAAACTTTTGAATATTTCAATTTAATCCCAAAATTCATCCAAATATGTAATTAATTTCAATTATAGTTTAACCTAATTTTTTCAAACATATAATAATATATAACTTGACCTAACAATTTTATTAACAAGAGATGTAATTAGTATATGTGTATAGTTTGGGATGAAATGGAGTGTTCAGAAAGTTTGAGGATCAATTTAGAATGAAGATCATAATTTGGAGATAAAATTGAAATTTTCAAAAGTTTGAAGATTAATTTAGAATGACAATCTTAGTTTAGAATTAAATTAAAACATTTAAAAGCTTTTGAACCAATTTAAAATAAAGATCATACTTTAAAGACATATGGTGCAATTAACTCTTATTTTGTTTGGCCTATGAAATCTGCTTCAGTGCTCAAGCTTTGTTTGGGTTATATTTAGATTTTAAACTTTTTGGATTTTGGAATATTTGGACCGTTAATTTTATTTATTTAAATTTGTTTCAAAGGTATATATGATAAACTTCGTAAATTATCTATGAAATTATTTTTTTAGTATTAAAGTTTTAAAAATAAGAAAACGGTTATTAATATTTATCATTTTGTATTAAATTGGTCATTCAATTGTTGTTACTGCAGTCACAGAAGTTTGATGTGATCATTTCTTCTTTCAGCACTAGAATTTTAAAAATAACAAAATGATCATTGATGTTATCATTTTGTAACAAATCAATCACTCAACCGTTAACAACATAAATATTTTCTGTACTTCATCTCATATCTCTTCTTTCGTGTAAATATTTAGTTTGATTGTGTAATATTTAATTTGATTCCGCGTAAATTTTTTCATATTCCAGTGACTATTTATGTAGTTGACCCATTATTTAAAGCAGATAACAAGGAAGATGTGTGTGTACAAAAATAAGTAATATGAGGAAGCCTGTTATTCCGCTCGTTCTCAATAACTTCCGAGGTCACAACTTTCAGCTTCTCTTCACCACCCATAGCAACACCTGCCACGGAGCAAGCAACCGTTGTCGTCGTAAAATTCAACTCCCTCTTTCCATTTCTGTTTCTATAATCGATTGTTGTTGCCTTGGTCACAACCAGCCCTCGTCGACCACTCGTGGAAGGAACAATAGCATACTAGGACATATTATTGACTTCTGGTTCAACCGGTTGGTCTAGATTTTTGAAAACTGGTGTGCCCAAGGTGCGGTGCTAAGGCTTAAGCATTTGCAAGTAACCATGGAGGTTTAATCAAAAATAGGACCAAATTGCAAGGTTTCGATATTTTGAGATCAAAAGTGCAAAATATGGAAAGTTTGGTTCCACTTCTACAAACACTAAAAAGTTGAGCAGTTTTTAATCTATGATTTTTCTAATTTTAAATTATACTAGGTCAGTCAATTGTCGTATCTGTTTAGTTCAGTGAACGAAATAATAAAAATTTAACCATAATGACTATAATTAAAAAAATGATTTTAGTTACCAAAATACAAATACTTTAAAAATATATTTACTCCAACACTACATATCATCACCTTATCTCAACATTTTTGCCAGGAACTATCAAATGGCAGACAGCATATGTAGAGGTAACATGCAATACATTGAATATTATAAGTTGACAAGGACAACATCCCCATCATACGTCAGGTCAAATGTGTAGGGTTACATATGTATGGTAAGCAAAGCATTTTCATAGATATCATAAACGACGTATGATAAGATGATATATACTTATAACTTTATCATGTAATAACTTCCATTTTTTTAATAAATACAAATATTTATATGTAGGGTTTGGGGTTGGTAGAACATGGTCTTTTCTAAAATGATAAAATTTTGGTTTTTCGAATTTAGGATCAAATTGTTACAGTGTGTAAAGACGGGGGTTAAATTGTTCACAATTAAGACCAAATTGATATGTGTACAGATTAAGAATTATACATATTATTTTATTATATCATTCTATAAACTGACACATATCTTTTCGTCTGAAGTTAATAGCCGGCGATAAAAAAAAATCAATGATCAAAATGAAATTTTTTATAATTGAATGACTAAAAGAAACTTACTTTCAATTGGGTGATGTGTAGTGTACTTTACCCATAATACATAAGCCAGGGATGGGACTAGAATTTGAATCAGTTAACGTAATTAACACTCTTTTAAGCAAATCCTTTAATCAATGAGTGTACAACCACAAATCAATTATTGCCCCACTTTCGTAAAAGTTCTCTCCTCTTCTTCAAATTACGTCTCTCCATTCAAATTCAATTGTATTACTCCTACATAAATTAAATTATCATTTAAGTCTTCAAAAATTGCAAAATAAGTAAATATTATAAGGGTAAACTATACGTTTAGTATCTAAACTATTATTTTATTCCATTTTGGTATTCAAACTTTATTTTTTTCAAAACCATACTTAACATCTAGTTTATGTTATAATTTGGTATCCCCTTTAATAGAACTGCTGACGTAATATATTTTATTGTTTTCAATGATGGTATAACATTATTTTATGGTGACAAATCAACATAACCGTTAAGTTTTTAACGAATGGATATTAAAATGGCACCTAACTAAACATTAACTATGATTTTGAAAAAAAAATAAAGTTGAAGTATCAAAATGGAACAAAAGTAATGATTTAGGTGCTAGACATGTAGTTTACCAATTTTATAAATCAGTCTACATTTATATTTATTTATACTATATAATGCTAGTATATTTTATTGTGTCGTATAGATATTGTCTTAGATGTAATTTTGTCTGGACTAATGTAATCCCTAAAATTGAAAGTAACCCGATTAACTCAATCGATAAAATATAAAACTTTTAATTTTGTAGTCGTTAACTTCATTCCTTGTTACTTATTATGAATAAAAACAAATTTTAATATATAAATATTTCATCAAACTTGTATCTCACCAATATGAGATACAAACAACTTCTTTACATTACCATTTTATCAACATATACAATCTAGAATTGTATGCACCAACTCAATAAAATTAATTAATTAAAAAACTTCAATTATAAAATAAAATCATATACTATTTGTGTGTTTATCTTTTTAAGGGTTTGTTTGATCACTCAATGAAAAATAGTAATTTATCAGAAAATGATAATTTTAATATTTTAAATATGTTTGATATTTAAAACCAAAGTAATTCGTTAGATTTTAATGGAAAAATGTGAAAAATATTAAATAGATAAGGATCTATTTCTCATTTAATAAAAAAAAATATTTTCAACGTTTTTTATATTTATTCTAATCATATTTTCCTTTAAATTTTAATTTATCAAATAATTTAATTTTATCCAAGATTTGTTTTTAAACAAAATATCAAACCTATTTATGATTTAATTTTAATTTTAAGATTTTTATTGTAATTTATTTTTCTTTAAGAAAAACACAAACTTTTGCTCATCTAGTGAAACAAGGATTTGAGTTGCAATAAACGCAAACAAAGTATAAAAATCTGAAGGGTAAACTACCTATTTGATCACCTATCTATTACTCAATTTCTTTTTTGATCACTTAATTATTATTTTTTTAAAATCATACATAATGTTACATTTTAGTTTTGTTCTGGTACATAGTGTTAAAAATTAATGTTAATACTAAAATGTCATCATACAAATGGCCAAAATAGAATCAAAATGTAATGCTAAATATGATTTTGAAAAGGGAATAATACCAAGAATAGCCCTTGACATTTACTAAAATGGTCCTTTTGGCCCTTATTATTTTTTGGCAACGTTTCACTATGGGTCAAAAATATCCCTCTATAGATGTAAGCCATTAGTTATCACACGATTAATGCTTCAAAATAGGATATTTTTTTTAACCTAAAATGAAACGTTGAGGGCCAAATGCCCCCCAAAAAAGAATAAGAGATAGAGTGATTATTCTGTTAAATATTAGGGGCCTTTTTGCCCTAAAATAAAAAGGTTGGGGGACAAAATGCTCCAAAAAATAGAATATGGGGCAAAATGATCATGTTGTTAAACGTTGGGGGCTAATTTTGATATTATACATTGAGAAAAAATAATAGTTAGATGATCAAAACATAACTAAGTAATATGTGGACGACCAAATAAGTAGTTTACCCAAATCAGAATCTGTAGGTCAATGATGCGTGTCTGGACAAACATATCTAATCAATCTTAAGATTCTTTATTATTATTATTATAAATATTATTATTATTTACAAAAATTGATTAACTAAAACTTTTGAAACTCACAGAATTCGTTGGTACAATAATCACAAAAATATTTTGGTAATAATGAAGAAAAATATAAAAAAAAGGAAAAAAACACAAAAAGAAGAAGAAGATTAATGTTAAAATCCGTGAAGGATCAACGAATGGTAAAGAGTGAGATTGCTCGTGACATTGGCACCTAAAATCACATGCAATATTTATTTGATATCTAATTCAATATTTATATTCTTATACTTATATTTAGCTCCCCACGTAGAGGTGGGTATACGGGCTACCCGTCCGTTTAGTCCGCGGGTTTTGACGGTACGAGCTTAAACGGAGCGGTTTAAAAAACCCGCAATTATAAACGGTTTTGAATTCTAAGGCCCGTGGCCCGTCCATTTAACTCGTGAGTTAAACGGGCTTACCCGCGACCCGTGAAATAAAAATAATTTTAAATATTTTAAATGCAATAAAAAATAATATTCTAACTTGCTACACCTTTAAAAATGATCCAGTAACTTGAAAAGGAAGGTAGCACCGTCAAAAAAATAAATAATATTTAAATTTTATTTTAAATAGCCAGA